TATATATATATATATATATATATATATATATATATAACAATACAATAGTAAATAATAAAAATCAAGTAGAAAAGATTGGTGATTGTAAGTAGGAAAAAAGTGACTAGAATGATACAGATGGTAGTGTATTTCCTCTTTATTAATTTAAAGAATCTTATAGACCTTCATTAGCTGGATTTTTTACTTAAAGAAATACCCCATAACTTTAATATACAGTACTTTTAAAATATCTAATGGTTCCCCAATATGAAAATGTTATAGAGTTACACATAATCTAATACTATAAAACACAGTGTGTATCTGTCTGTCTCTCGGTCACGCAATGATGTCATAGCAACTTATTACGCAATTTAAGTACTTTTGGCTTCCTGTCAATTAGAAGCGAGTAGTCTAAGACTGATCGAAAATTAAAGATATATTTGGACTAAAATGTACAAAAAATTGCACCTTTTTTTCTCAATTTGAAAACGTATCTTTGTTAAATCGTCGAGTTACGCCAGAAAGGACGTAAATATACTTTAGTAGACATTTTATACAACATATTAAAAGCTTATCAAAGTTTTTAAAAAAGGTCTAACGTAAGGTCGTACAATAATATTAGAAGATTATTTATTGATAGTATTAAGCGCGGTAGGGTTTAGCCCTAAAAGCAAAAAACGTACACAAGTTACAATGTTCACATATCTCTTTATTGAATATAGGCCGTACTTAACAAGGGCTGAACTAATGTTAGAACTAAGACAAGTGGATTTACAGATTTCAGTGTCTGCTACTAGAATTATCTTGTTTTACTCTAGAAATCCTGTAGTTAAAGAAGTACTGTTGTAATAAAGATACTAAGTTGACCGCAAAAGTTTTGCGGATCTCTGCTAGTTTAATACGTAAAAAATACATAAAATACAACAATAAAAAATCGTGATACCTTAGTTCATATAGAAATTCTTAGTTTTAATATAATAATGGTTGGAGACGGCTTGAATGGCCTGATGATGACAAAACCTTGTCGAAACGTTGTACATTTGCTGTGATGTTAAACTTGTATTAAAGTTTTTCTTCATTACCCTTTCAAGCCGTCTCCAACCATTATTAATCTCAAAGTGGGTTTCTCGTCATCGAATTTAGTATTAATATGTTTACGCGTTAGGTCTGTATAATATTTGATAAATGTTCTGCACTGAACACAACATGTTTTTCTTATGGTAGGCAATTTAAATATTTTACACACATACCTTTTTGACCTTGGTATGTTTGGATCACTCCGTTTCCTAAATGAATGTCTATTTTCTCTCTGTAAATAAAACACATGTAATAAATAAATAGAGTTTTACTAATCGAACAACAACTTAAAAATTTCTCCTTTAGATATTTCTCAAATACTTTATATTTTAAATGTGAGGTGTTTATCACTTATACTCACACATTGCAAACTACATGCAGACTGTAATAGAGGTCCATGTTGTTCTAGTTTAGAGTTACTAAACGTATATGTACACCGACGTACATGTTTAGCGAATTGATGCCTTACTACACTAGATATGCAAAACGTGTTCCAGACTTGAAAATCATAATACATTGCTCTTTAATAAAATAGACTGATAAATGTATTTAGTTATAGTCTCTCTGTGAAATTATAACCACTTAACTTTATTATTTTAAATCTACTCATTCTCAAAATATTTTTTAATGTAAAAAAAAACAAAAAATATGACTACCCCTTAATAAGATATATGTTCATTGACAAAAAAAACAATAAAATATGAATTACGAAATGTAAAAACTTTATTCAAAGCATCCACACACACACACACACACATATAAGTTCACCATACTGTTTCATTGGTGTTGTGCCATAGTTCTATACAAATAAAATAGGTGAAAAAAAAGTTAAAGTAATCAAAGGAACACATAATTTAAAATAACAATAATCAATTCAGATAAATACATTCTCACTCCTACTATATAAAGTTTCTACTTAAGTGCCAAGCAACACAATGAACTACCTACACTATGTCCATTAGAGGAATCAACCCCTAATTTTTATTATTATTATTATTATTATTATTATTATAAGTCCTCAAGCTTAATGCTGAGCCACCAAGGCCAACTACTATGGAAAACAAGCTAAAATATTTTACTTAACAATTATCATAGGAAACAAGGGTTCATAAACATATGCTAAGAATTGGTTGAAGAATAAGTTAGTATCTCTAACTGCTGAATCAGTTTTCTGAATATCTCACAAATGGTTAAGTCCTGCTTTATGGGCCTGGAAAAGTTGGAATTGTTTTTATTTGTTAATCTTCTATGCTTTTTCCTTGAAAACAAAATGAAGATACCCAGCTTTTTATGAATGTCGCATCCCATTTTTTTTTTTTTTTTTTTTTTTTT